AAAAATTTTTTACTCTCAGTTTTTTTCTGCGTTCGGTCAGTGTGATGTCACAAAGAGATTTTTCAGCTGTGGCGCCTTCGTGGCGCTTTAAGCGGTGCACATTGAGTAGAACAATAACCTGATGCTGGTTCAGCCTCTGAAGGATTTTAAAGGTTCCTCCTGCGCAGCTCTTGCACAGCTGCAAAGCTGCGAGTGGGCCGGGCTGCAGGCTCTAGTGGGCCTGCCGTGGGCCTCGGACTCTATGTTTATCCTCTGGACAGCAGCGTTTACATTTTATTATTTCTGCTGTTTACGACTTCCGCCTGAGAGGAACAAAAACAGTCAAATAAAAGATTTTTCCTGTTCTGGGAAAAAGTAAAAAGGACTTTTTCCCCATGAGGCTTCAGTACAAACCGAGATAAAGACAGACTGTTTATGTCAAACTACACGATCCGATCTGGAAATATCTGGGAATAATGATTTGTGTTACGATCGATCCCTCTGGGTTTGTGTCAGGAAGGACAAAACGCTGCCAGATCAAACATGCTGCTGTGGCGAGCCGCGTGAGTAAAGGAGCATCTTTGATTTTCACGTCGTCCTTCCTGCTCTGCTGAGTTTAGACGGAGAAAACAAACATGGATGCAAGTTTGTTTAAACAGAACAAGTCGAAAAGAAATAATTATGTTTATTTCAGTTTATGTTGACTGAAACCAGCAGAGGAGGAGAGGTTTAGACTACAGTCTGAACTCATGCACCTCTGAACTCTTTCTGGGATTTCTGTGTGATCAGAAAACTGCCAGCTGGCAACTTTTCGCTGAAAACGCAGATGTTTATTGAACTGCTTTCATCGTTTTTTAAGAATCAGAGAGATTTTTAATGAAAGAACATTTGATGGTCGCAGCTTTTCAGATGTGACTGTTTGTTTCTTTTCTTCTTTTTCACTTTGGAGTTTCAACTGTTTTCAACCAGGACAGTTATGAGTACATTCACTAAAAAAGATGATTTGAATCTCTACATCTGACTTCTGTGAACGTTTTTCCTTCTTTTGTTTGATTTGACGTCGTATTTTGTGTTCCTGATATTTTCCTGTCGCTGCAGCAGCAGGTTGGTCTCTCCTGTAAAAGTGCTTCTGATGCATCATTTAAAATAATAATATATAATATTTACTTCATGGTGATCTAATAAAAGTAAATATTAACATTAGGGGCAGGAATAACTCAGTAAGTAGAGTGGTGTCCCCATGATCGGAGGGCGGGGTTTCGATTCCCCTGAGGTACCCCTGAGCAAGTGCCCACTGCTTCACTAAGTGAGTGGGTTAAATGCAGAGAGGAATTTCCCCACGGGGATCAACAAAGTATACAAAAAAAGGCTTCAGCTGTTATGTGGATGTTCGTATAGCTTCCTGTTTCTGTATTGAGACTAAAGATAATCTAAATTATTTAATAATAACTGAATCCCCCCTCTGTGCCCCTTTATGGATTCTTCCCATCCCGTGTTTCCCAGCATGCCTTGCAGCAGCAGGCTGGTCTGTGCTGGAGCTGCTGATGTTGGAGGAAAACGCGTCAAAAGCGGAGGAAACCATTTCCACCTTCAGACACTCAGACTTCTCCAATTTGCTGTTTCAGCTCTAAAAATCACTTTTCATGTAAATCTGAGGATTTTTGTTTAGTTTCGTTAATAATGAGGAACAATAATGAGCTCGAGCCTCGTTACTGCTCGTCCTCATTGTTGAGTATTTCTGTGTCATATTCCTGTAACACACTAACTTTGAGCTGTTCGGTTATTATTTACGATTTTTTCACACTTTGCTGGTTTAAAATGATCCAAATTCTTCAGAATATCCTGTAAACACTTTGATCTCCGCGTTTTTCCCACGTGATGCACCTCTGATCGTTCCTGAAATATTCCCACTATAAAATATCTGTGGTGTAATTTTACTCTGATACACATAATACTGAAACAACCCGGAATTACAGTTTTTATTATCGTGTAAATAAACAGAAATAATAAAAGAAGCTTTATAAACATAAACAAGTTTATTTTTATTTATTTTTCTTTTAGGATGAAGTTAAAGTTTGCATAAATATCCAGCCCGTTAAAAAACGGCTGTTTGAGTTTGTTTGTGTGTTTTAAGTTGGATCAGCAGCAGAAAAACAGACAAAGAGAAACTAACGGGACTGCAGCTCAACTCACCGATCACTTTTCCTCCTTTTTTTGTCCGGAAGTGCAGAAAAATCTTCTTCCGGACGCTGAACCTTTTTCGTTTTTCCTTTTCGTATTTTTTCTTCTAGACTTTCGCTTCGAAACCTTCACATTTCGTCTCCAGGAGGATAAAAACAAGTCTCCAGCTCGCAGCTGTCACTCTGCCTCGCCCACACCAGGAAGCAGCAGCTGCTGTCAAATTAAAACACGTATGGTTTTCAAAGTAAAAGCACCAAGCGAGACAAAAATATTTAAAGTAACTACGCAAAACTGATAATTACTGAATAAAACATATATTCGTGCAGGTTTTTTTCTTTATGTCCACGCAGATCTCTGTGTAGAAGCCAGCTGCTTTAGCGTCTAACCTTTCAGACAACTTTCTTCTGATGGGCTGCCCTCACAAAAACAGTCGGTGGGGCTTCTGTGTGCCTGACATGACCATACGAGGATTCTTCCCTCTCCCTGAAATTACGCAGGTCTACAAGTTAAAAAAAAAGGTTTGTGTGTTTGAGTTTGCAGTCTGATCTTTGGGCTCATTATTTGACACATCGGTCATGTTTGATAAAACATCCACAAACAGGACAGGAGATCCGGGACAGTGTGCAGTTGGTTTCTAATCTTCAGCCTCATTTAGAGACAAACATGTGAAGAGATAATCGCAGAGTTTAGTTCAATATAAATAAAAGGTTTCCTAAACTTACATTTATTATTCAGTAAATGTTCCAGCTTTCATCAAGAAACATTTAAAGTATTCTAATGTGAAGGTGTTTTATGTTGAAGGTTCAAAACACAACTTCCTGTTTATCCTTAATCAGCCGCTGCTGATGAAATAAAATTCCCTGGAGTCAAAATGGTTGATTTTCTGTTTTTTAAGGTTTTATTTTGTGTTTACAACATTTAGTAGAAAAATAAAAACTATGCTAACCAAAGATTCAATTATGCTTCGATTATTATACTTTTAAAAGTTCAATAACAAGTCTTTATCTGGAACTCTGGCGCCATCTGGTGGTCAATCTGATTAATGGAGTTGAATCATTGAGCTTAACAAAGAAATTCTTTAAGTTTATAAAAATCCCTCAAAGACGTAAAAACATCCATTACAGGAAATGGAAAAATATGTTGGTTATAAATAGATGTGACGACATTTTTCGGTTTCCTTTTAGAGGAGTCGGACCTCGCCGGGTTTTTCGGGTCTAGGCTGCTGCGCTAGGCGAACAGCCCAGCGGCGGGCTCGGGGATGTTGGTGGCGTGCATGTCTCGCGTCATGTTGGACTTCTCCTTGAGTTTGGCCTGAAGCAGCGTGTGCTCCACCACGCCGATCCGCACGTCCATCTGAATGATCTCCTGCTTCAGCTTCGTCAGGCTCTGCTTGATTTTCACCACCGGAGCTGCAAAAGCAGAAGAAGAAGCGGAGAGGTCAGCACTGCGGCAGGGCCGGAGTCAAAACCGAGCACTGTGACCAGATTCACCTCACCTCCGTCAGACATGCTGCTGCCTTTCTCCTCCATCTCCTGCTTCACCTTCTCCAGCTCCTCGCTGATCTGAAACAAACAGAAGAATTTCAAATTAAAACACAAGAACAATACAGGCTGTCATCATTTCAAAATAAGACAAATATTTAATTAAACCCAATCCAAGTCAACACTGACATTGTTATGCGATTAGCTCAGACTGGTTACTGATGGGTCTCTTCTTCCATGTTTATTTGTGCTTTGACGCTTTTATTTATTTAATTATAAAAGTGAATCAGATTTAAAGCTGGAGTCACCAAACCTGTAACAGCGACACCCAAACTAAAAACTCCTGCTTTTCTTGTATCTAGACGAGATTTATCGGCTCATTTCCATATTTTATATTTTTAGGCTCTGCTACAATAGCTTTGCATGATTCACCGCTCAGCATAATCCTCTTTTCAAATAATCCCTAATAATAAGTAATAGTTATTATTATTAAATAAACTGAGGACAGTGAAATCTGATGTTTTATTATTATCAGCTTGCTTTTTTCACCTGCTGCTGTTAAAATGATTTTATTGATGAATTAAACGTGGTGCGTTCACTGACCTCGGCCAGCACTCTGGTTCTCTCCGTCACTCCTCCGCTGGCCTGCTGGTAGCGCTCTCTGGCCTGAAGGATGACAGGAGTTACTGAACTGACTGTTTCCACACATTCTGACATTGAGACAGTTTCAAACTGGAATTAACGTGAACTCAAACGTGTCGCGATGACGTGAACGAATCAGGAACGTTCAGCTCCGGGTTTACCTTGCTGAGTTTGGCCTGGGCGCTGCGGTACTCCTGGATCAGATGCTCCAGCTGGTTGTTGATGTACTTCTCTCTGCTGCTCACCTTCTCCAGCGTCTTCCCGATGTCCTCCTGCAGCTTGTCCAGGTGACTCTGAAGAGACGACGAAGAATGACGTCATGTTTAATTTCACTCCATGAACTTATTTTGTTTTCATCTTTCTCCAGAACTGAAACAGTCCTCAGGACGTTTGTCTCTGTGGTTAATGGGAGATTCGCTGAACATGGAAACATCTGTTCCTTCTTCTTGTGTGATTTAGTTTATTTAATTAAAGCTGGCTGATTGATAATATTCTTTACGTGTGACTGAAATAAAATAATACTTTTTGTTTGTCCCGTCCGATGACAGTGAGAGGCTGCAGGGAGGACATGACATGATGATGAAGCGGGTCAGTGAACGCACCTTGGCCTCCTTGAGTGAGGACTGGATCCCGTCTCTGTGCTGGTGCATCTGGTCCACGTGGACCCTCCAGTCCTGCAGGACCAACACAGACCAGAGAGTGAGAGCCACTAACACTGACAGCCAACCAGAGAGCATGCTGGGAAACTGCAGGTAACCTTCAAAGCCTTCAGTCACTCATACAGAAACAAAAGCTTGTTACGATCACGCTGGACGAGTGTGAAGCTCCGGCAGAGTGAAGCGTCTTTCACTTCATCTCACATCTGGCGGAAGCTCCGACACCTCAGGTGAGCGCCAGGCGAGCGCCTACCTTGTTGTCGGTCCTGATGGTGACTTTGAGTTGCGGCAGGACTCGCTCAACCTCCAGGTTCCACTCTGTCACGTCGACCGTCGACTCCAGGATCTCGTCGGGTTTGGAGGACGTCTCAGCTTCCTGCCAGAAAACAGACGCCGCGGCGAGTTCAAAGCTCGGAGCGAACGTGAAAGTGGAAATTATGATGTAATCTTATTCTGAGGTGATCTCACAGTGTGAGTGCTTCGTAACTTCAGAGCCTCCAGGTCCATCACGTTCTCCTCCTCCTCGTCCCCTTCGTCCTGGTCACACACAAAACAATCATGAGATGTGAAGACGATTCATGGCTCGACCCGCGCAGCGCTGAGCATTAAAAACACGCTCATGACAATATATTCGATTATGATTTCTGCTCTAAAGTGTGATGGACTTTATAAAACGAGGGAAATATTTTGTAATAAAATACATGAAATTATGTTTTTAAAATAAAAGTGTGAGGATGTTTTATTTTGAAATTTCCCTGATTTCCTCTCAGTGTTTGGTGATCTCTGACAGAGGTGCAGGAAACCACCGCAGTAAAAACAGATTCATCCTGTAAGTGTGCCGAACGGAAAAGAAGAGGAAGTTAGACGAATGCGGAACACCTACGATCAGCTCCTCCTCCACTTTCCTGAGCGTGAGCTCGGCGTCGTCCTCCACCACAGACTCTTCTTCTGTGTTTTCTGATGGGTAGTTTGTCCTGAAACAGAGACAGAAAGAAGTAAAAAAACTTCTATAAACACAGAAGAAACAAAAGCAGCCTGACGAAAAGAAGAAAACAGACGGCATACTTCCTGAAGGTGAAGCCTCTCTTCCTGAGCGCCTCCTCAGCCAGTCGGTCCAGCACGAAGCAGACGTACTCGCCTGAGCCAGACTTCAGTTTGGAGGGCGGGAAGTCCACCTTAACACCCTGAAAAACAGAGGAGGAATTAAAAAAGCGTCAAACTCTTCTTGTTTAACGGAAGCTCCCGCCTTCGCACAATCGGTCAGATTTATCAAAGCACAAACAAACGAACTCCAGACATACCAAAGCTCATTTCCAGCTTCTAAACTCTTTCTGTGTGACTCACAAAGGCCCGCAGTTCTGCCAGGATGTTGGACACGGTGGCGTTGGGTTCGTCGTACTCCTGCGGCTCGGTAAACGGCCTCCCCGCCACATTGATGAGCCACGCTGCGATGATGGTGAACATGTAGAACTGCTCGCCGGGGTTAGACGCCAGGTATGGACTGGAGACGAAGTAATGCCTGCACGGAGAAAGCAGAGGGGACTGAAGGGTTTT